ATGTGCAGACAGGGGTTGGGCAACTAATGCACTGAATTAAAATAATTATTATAGCAACCAAATTTTAGTTCATGGTTGTCAACATAATGGCAAAAAATCTAACTGTACTATTTACTGTTAATGGTTAAATAGACCAATTGTGACAAAAAGGACAAAAATTTAAAAAGAATCAAACTATCCATCAACAAAGTCCTGAAAAATCTTCAATTCAGCTGAGTCAATATTTTGATAAATACCAATAAAAAACACCCTCCACCAAATCCTCAATGATTGACAGCTGACTTACCCAATCATAAGTGATCACTTGCTCAGACTTCTTGTCCATAAATGGAAAGAAGCCCCCTTCTGATTGGACACTGCCCTGAGAGGAGGGTGTAGATGGCCGTGACTCTTTTCCCTTTCCTTTTTTCTTCCCTCCCCTGGTGGAGCCAGTGTTGCTGCTGTCGTCTGCAATGTCAAGGTCATTATCCACTCCAGGATTGAGCTTTTTGAGTTCCAGTATTTTGTGAAGAACATCTGGATGGTTCCAAATCTGAAAGATGATTTTTTATAAGTATATTTTTCAAAAATAAAATTTCAAGTTAAAATTTGAAAGAAAACTGCACCATAGGGGTTCATTTATATCTAAGTAGTTCTTGGAATTTCAGCTAATATTCAAGTTGGAATGCACATTTTCGTTTGTAAATAAATTTTCTTGCTATTTACAGAGACATAATGCAGACCTGCAGAGAATTCATATAAAAAATCAAAAAGCTAAACTGAAGGAAAATCCTTTGGCTATTGGAATGGTTCTAATCTGAAAGATAATCTGATTTAAAAGACAGCAGCAAAATGAAATCATTCACTCATCTCATCTGACTTTCACCTATAAATCATGCCTCTCAAATATTTTTCTTTTTATTCTTAATTTCAATTTCTTTTCATTTTAAATTATAAAATGTTCATGTAAGTTCAATGTGAACACCATGCAGTCATGCAGTAATATTAGCACTTTTTCACAACTTAACAAAATCTTATTCAAACCATTCTTCTAGTGGTATTCTTTCCTCTTCCCCCCCCCCACCCACACACACACACACCACACACACACACACACACACACACACACACACACACACACACACACACACACACACACACACACACACACACACACACACACACACACACACAAC